ACATTAAACCAAGAATAAAGCGTAGTGATGGCTAAGTTACTAAGTCACATAGAATCATACAATCTGTTAACCCCCTAGCAACACGGGCATCGAAACAAGCATTCGTGCTTAACTGACTTACTTATTACAAGAAAGGATCGAACGGTTTTTCTGTCGGTGTGATATTCATAGATTTAGTTAAAGCATTTAATAAGGCCTCTCACATAGGTCTTATGCAGAAGCTTCCGAGCTTCGGAATAACCTATGCTGTACAGAAATGTATAAGTGACCTCTTTTGTCACCGAAGACGAAGAGTGTGGGGTTAAATAGGTTGATCTCTGAATAGAACCAAGTCAAAAGTAGCATAATCCAAGGTATCATCTTAAGTCCCCTACACTTCCCTACCTACGTTAATGAATTACCGTGCTTGCTTAAAATATGGACACTGCTATTCGCGGATAATGTAAAATCTGGGGAGCAATAAAGAGTGGGACTGATCGTTTTGATCTTCAAGTTGACGTAGACGAATTAATTAGATTATCTCTATGTTAGGGCTTAGGACCTAATTCTAGAAAGAGTGTGCTCATGCACATCGGACAAGGTGACGGTTACCACCATGCTATCAACAGTACACCTTTTCCTAGAGTGCAGGAACATAAAATCTTAGGAGAAATGTTGAGTCACGACTTGAAAATAAAAATACTCATTGCAACATAGCCGCCGCCAGAGGTTTCTGTGTGTTGTAATCACTTCGCCAAACATTCAAATGCTTTGACCAGGTGTTTTGAGTCTTATGCACCATCTACGTAAGACCACACATAAAGTTCTGTATCCAAACTGCTGATTCATGTCTTATTAAGGATACCTACTCACTTGAGCGTTTTAAGCGCGTGGGAAATATCAGTGAAAGCCTTTCTAAACCCCCTTATGATGGGCGCTTAAAATGCCTTATCTTTTCCCCTTATGGTCTCGTAGAACGAGAGGTGACCTTATATTGACATTCCGTGTCATTCGTTACGATGTGGGTGTTAATGTGGTTTATCTGTTTGCTCCTTCCAGCATTGGAACTCTTCGTGGCCATAGAAAGAAGGCTCAAAAACTGAGATCTAATAAACTCAAAGTGGGGTTCCGTTTTTCTCATCCAGTGGTCAGTGTCTGGAACACCATACCCGAACAAATAGTATCAGTCCTATCGGCAAACACTTTCAAAGAGACCTTCACTAGAAAACAAACTGTTGAGATTATTACAAGTCCACTAACATACTATCATTATTAATGAGGACTGAAGACTGATCTCGAACACATCAGTCATACTTCGTTGTTTCAACCGTGCGCTGCGTGTAATTTTCTTCAAGGTAACTTGATCAGCAAATTGTTTGTATTTAAATCGCTATTTTTCATAAGTAGAAATGTTTTAATTCATGGTCACAAGTACATGTCAATTACTGTGAAGGTGTCTTTAGACTTCAAAATGCACCAGTCTGAGAAACAAACATTTGACATGTTTTTGTCTGGTGATAAGTAAGAATCTGAGGTGCGTGCTTCGAAAGATTACCATCGTTTAATTGGTTCTTTATTCAGTCCGCATGCTATGCTTTTCCACTTATCACAGTTCACTTATGCCCTTCGGTGGAGTGGAAGGTTAATTTATTTGACCCTAACATGCATAAGGCAAGCAATCTATCCCAATGGACATAGTTGTGATAATTTCCTTCTTGATCGAATATTATGGCTTGCATTTAAATCTTCAATTTGGATACAAGTAGTCTTTTATAATTTTGGGGTAACTAGGAACGAACAAAAGACAAATTTTTCCATTATTAACTTCTAATAATACCAACACCAGCTTTCATCTTTATGTGATGGTTAGGTTTGCATATTCTGATGACCCAGTGGATATATATACTAGACAGAATATTCATTCTTTCATGTCCTACCATACCAGACAGTTTGGTCTTTGAGATGTAAGTTTGAAAGTAATGAACTCATGGTCTGGGATGAGTTTTTACTTCTGAATGTACAAAAGCATAAAGGCAGTTAAGAGTTTTTGTGGTGATGTTTTCTCTGGATAACATAAGGAAGGCGTGGGGATGGCCTCAGAAATATCGCTGTTAAGGCCCTAAAGGTATAGTTCTAGGTCGTTCGAAACTCGATAGGGTGCCGTACATTACTGGCTTCAAGCAGTTGTCTGTTTTTCATTTCATTTGCGCTTTCTAGTCGTTTAGATCACTTCCAACCCAATCTCCTTTGTAGGTACCTCACTGAGAATTGTCCTTCGACAGTTTGGGCAACGTGGGCGTGACAGCTTTCCTCCTACAACACGTGAAATCGCCCCGTTCATCATTAAGCCCTATTTTCACTACCTAGCTGAAAAAAGTTTACAGATTACATATTTATCATATATACATCAATGGCTTCAGTGTTTGCACGTTTTCTGATTTATCAGAATTACTGTGGTCGAACCTGTTTTTTTTACTATGAACGTCTGTTCAGAAGAACTCAGCCTTCAGCTTTCTTTTCTCTCATATACTTTACGAGAAACTACTTGTGACTTGGAAGAATGCCGATATTAATATTGGTCCGGCTGTTTGCTGTGACTGCTGAATAGTTGTTACTTATTACAGTGAAACAAGACTACTACACCGACTGAAGAAAGGAAAATAGTGTAAATCTAGACTTATTAACTGACCACTGATCAAAGAGACTTCAAAGCTAACAATAAGGTGTATATCATTTTAAATTTCCAGTCAATGGATAAATTTTGAACGGGCAGTGGTTAACGTAAATTAATTAACAGTTCAGTTTCTATATAACTTACAAAATGGATAAGTTTACCTACTTGACTGAAAAATATAGCTCGTCACTGAGCTGTACGTTTGTTTTTTGACCCAACTTTATACTTCTATTTCTGAATCCAACCACATCCTAGATTCCTCTGAACCACATTCTAGTCTGAAGGATATATTGCCAACGTTACCCCGTTTCAAGATGTCTTCTGGAACTGAAATCTTTTCGTGCGGCTATATTCTGTAGCAGTCGTCCTCGAGGTGTAATTAGTTTACTACCAACACAGTCTGTGGTAGAATTCTCCTATATTTCGATAACTGAGTGGTGATAATGTTAATAACATTATGAATAAATAATTGTTTTGTTTCTCCTGTCTCTTTAACAGTCATGCGATCCCCCGTATCACGAAAAGTTTTGTGAAGTAGTACACTGTACCACGGATAAGTCTAACAATAATAATGGTGTTTATCGATAATTGTGCTCAATTAACACCTGGGAACCATAAAAATTGACTGGTTTAGTTAAGTTCTATTGAAACATTCATAATTCACTGTGCTCATTAATCACTAATTATGTTGTAAACGAAACCATTCCCAAACCGTTGCTGCTAATGTAATTCCATTTTATCTAAATTACTCAGTCTTTAATGGAACACAATAGCTTACGCAATGTGTCAAGAGCGGAAAACTGAGAAAGGTTTGGACAATCAAATGTCCCAAGTCTTAATATTGGATTGCTGACGAATGTCGATTAACATAAAAACTAAGTTAAAGGGAATACTGCTGATTGTTTCTAATCATTGAACATCAAAAGAAGTGCGATAAGATATCGAGTCTCTAAGACTTTGTTACCTAAATGCGAATCTGTGTAAATTAAGGGACATTTTCATCAGAAAATGTTAAGTTTCGTAAAATTAAGTTCAATAGTGGATGAGCAGTCAGTCAGTCAACTACAACGTAGGACCAGGCACATATGTGCATCGGTCCAGGTTGCCATACCGCATCAGCACAACAAGATGAACACCGGATTCATAGCAGTGGTTAGGTCAAAGGTGGTAATATATAAGAGAAAGATTGCATATAGAGATATAGTACAAGAAAAAAAATTGGTTCGTAGAAAGAAAGATATGAAGCGATTTTAATCTCTTTGTTTAAGGGAAGACAGGGAGTGTATGCACCGACGCCATTGTGATCGATTCTGAGCCATGTCACCCAGAGTCTCCAATCATTGGTTACGATAGTCACGCGGACCCCAACCAAGTAGTCTGCATCTACCAACATGGCTCAGACTAGAAGTTAGTGACTTCAAGCACTGATGCCACGTTTTGGTTTGGCCGCCCCTAACTTGTGGATGAGCAAATCGATTGTAACACACACCCTGATAATATAGACTGTTTCGGGTGATAATAAGAACAAATAATCTGTGAGTAAATTATAAGAGTCCAGACACGTGGTTATCACATCAACTATATATGCCTAACCTAGGGAATACTAAATATCCAAAGTTTCCAAGCTGATCCCCATCGTTATGAGAACACTTACACTGATTGATAACTATGAATGAATTATTGTTATGCATTTCTAGTCCCCTGCACTGATTAGGTTATATTTCTCGAGTTTTTTGTGTTTAGCAGCCGCCAAATGGTACAGTCAAGAGTGGGGAAAGTCATTTCTCTCTCGAAATGCTCTCACATGACCACGTGTCAAGGAAGTCATACTCACTACATTCTCGCGGCGGGGGTGTTGTTTACAAAATTGAGAGGGCGAAAAGCGAATGTTCGGCGCTTTAACCGGATCGGCGGACACGGAGAGTCCACCTAGGGGAATTGATGAACCCTGATTCCAAACCAATGGTGCACATGGGTTCTGAGGTCCTGAGGGGACAAATGACGTATGAACCTATTGTTGTTCATCAGCTGCCATGGGACTGCATCCCCTAACGTTCCCCACCATCTTGTGGTTTAGACCTCTAGGTCAAATGTTCGAGGAGTGGCTCCTTAAGAAAACCATTTGCTATGGTTTGGGCACCCGAGAAGTATTCAATCCCTCACACAAATCGAATGGCGAAGTGTAGCGCATATATATTTGATGCCTTCTTGTACCAATGTTTATGTGTTAGAATAAAATAAGTATTTTGAAATGCCAGATTATTTACAACTGGTACTCTTCATATTTGCATACTTAGGTTTTTGTAATCGTCACTTGAATTCTCTATATATTACATGCAAATACAGAATGAGTGTGGCCAAGAATTCACTGGATAACACGGGAAATTCCAATGATGCTATCGATTGGGATGTATGCCTACTTTTTATTCGGTTGTGTCATGTATTTTAGGATATGGTTTATCATCCAGCATTCGGAGCAGATATTGATCCCAAAGCAGGCTTACATCCAGCTACTGAAGCTTTGCAAGCACTGAAATATGAATCAGAAGATCCAGATGGTAAGTTCACGTACCATACTGACTAGTTTTTTCTAATGATTAGCTAATGCTCGTAGTTACAAAGAAGAAGGAAATTATTATTATAAGGGAAAAGACTTTTCTAAAGCGATATTGTCTTATACAGGTGGCCTACGTGCAAAGTCATCAGATCGTAAATTAAATGCAATACTATATACCAATAGAGCAGTATGCCATTTCTATCTAAGTAAGCGTTATCTTCAAAATCATCATTCTTTTTCTTTAGAGAATTACCGATCATGTATTCGTGATTGTAAGTCTGCTGTCAGTTTGTCACCGGATTATGTTAAAGCTTATGTAAAAGGTTTAGAGTTTTTTTAATACTAAAACTTCATTTTAGGAATTGAGGCTTGCCTAGCACTTTCAAAAATTGATGAAGCTTTAGAATTGTCATCAACCGGCTTAAATATATTGCCTTCTTCTCCTGAATTACTTGAAGTACAGTATAAGGTTCTTAAAAAGCAAATGGAATTAGATAAGGAGGTTGAACAGCGATCAAAATTGGATTGTAGAAAAGAAAATGATATGAATACTGAATATGAGATTTTAAAGGTAATTAACCGATTTTTATTGTTAATTGACAATATAGAACTTCGCATTTTATCACATGTTTGGTCGTAGTTCAATTTTGATAGTGTTCAGAAATAGACAACTTGGTACTTCGTTATTTAAATATATTCAGAATCCCTTCCCATCAAGTCATTTTCTATTTTGATATCCTAACTGTATTCATGAAACTTCGCTGGAAATGTGTAGTTTAACTGCATAGTAATTTACTTGTTCTGCATTTTATGGTCTCAGTTTACTTATTACGGGCTTCTAAGCGTTTTTTATTCGGCTATCTATTACATTTTGGTTCTGTGCAATCACGAAACGATCATGACTCATACTACTTATCTTGGAAACTTACAATTCCCGGTCGTCAAGACTCTTTAGTCCTCTCACAGAAATAACACAAGTTAGGCCTGATAATTGAACCATAAGATATTTAGGAGGGTAGGTCAATTATGTCTACCAACCTCATTGTACTAAACCCTAGCTCTGAAAAATGGTCTCCTACGTAAGGAGTGTTTTCTGCATAATATTGTTTTAAAAAGCTGCCATAGTGATTGGCGAGAGTTTAACTAGCAAATAGTTTTCAAAATTGAAGGCTATAACTTAATATTATGATTTTGCCAAACAATTTTCCTCAAAGAGACAATTTCTGAATCTTTAACCATTTATTTTATAACAGTTGAAAAAAAATACAGAAAAATATGACGTTAGTGTTTATCAAAATCCACTGTTGACTGCAGTACGTAGAATGTGTAATTTTTCCTGAGTTTAATGAGTCCTCCAACATGTGGTCAAGAAACTATCTTCTGATTTATACCCTGATAGTCTGCAAATTCCATGAGTTCCCCTAAATGCTTCACTTACAGCTTTTAGTTTTCCGAAACTTGATATTCATATCTTATCACTTTTGCACTATCTAGTCACGTGGAATTAATGTTAATCTCAAATTAAAACCTATTGATATGCCAGAAGTGGGTTGTTCCACATTTTATGTGGATTCATTGGGTAAATTTCACTGGCCTATTCTTTTTATGTATCCTGAATTCGGACAAACTGATTTCCTCCGTGATGTAATTGAATCAAGCATGTAGGTTTTCTGTATTGTACGGTTTTATATTTTTCTAGTGTTACATCCACTTCATTTTTGTTTCAATGAAAATAGATATAAGTTAAATCGCTATTAGGAATTATTCAGTCACTAAACCATAGGAGTACCGTTGTGTCCTCGAGATTTTTTAACTGTACAGTTAATACATTAACCTTACACTTGCTAGCCTTTTCCATCACTCAACTTCAGGTCATTTAGTTACAGAGTATACACTCCCATGCAAAACTTTGAACTAGATATATTATCAGTCCGTTCGACGCAAAATAAGTGGATTGACGTTGAAACTTACCTTCCATTGTACATAATTTGAATATTTAAACTACTAAGTTAGAACTTCATAAGAACTTCATAATTTTTATTGCAACGAATGCATTTTATAATCCTAACAAAATCCTGATGTGAAATAACTTCACACATGTTTTATATTAGAAGCTGCTGTATTTTACACTATAGTCCAATAGATTGGATAGTTTTTACGAACTCAAATTAGTGTTTCTCATTACAGGGAATTATAGTTTTGTACACACCACTTTTTAATAGATTTTTGTTTTGTTCTAGCGAACTTATTTATCGCATAGTTACTGGTTGTCCGCACTTCTAATAAAATAATAATAAAGATTATGCTATATGAAACACATCCGTATAAATTTCCCAGCGCTTGACTTGATGAGAAAAGAATATTAGTCTCAAAATCGGTTTATCAAAAAGAGTAATTTTTTCATTCACAGCCAGAAAGTGATTTTTAAAAAAATATGTTGCTGAACTATAAAATGACTGACTGTAGTAATAAACCTTGGGACCATGAAAGCGGGGTTTACGAAATATAATACTCTTAAAAATCAATAACAGCGGTAGAAAAAGGCATCTAGTCATCAATCTCACTCCCCACATTTTTGGTTTGAAACTAACAGTTTAGATATGAATTTACATAAAAAATGTTTGTTTAAAATATGAGTTACTCGTGAGTAGTTGAATGATGCAAAGTAAGGATCGCTTTTACAATTTTTATTCAGGATCATTGATTGTTTAAAGTTAGTTTTTGATGTGAATCAGCCTCCTCCACCGTGGGATCCGAAGCGCCTATACTCCCTTGAAGATGATGCTATAGAGGTATTATTTTTAATCATAATATAAGTGTTATATTTTCTAAAGTGTTATCTTTTAGATTAAAATTTCAGTCTATATTCCTTTTATTTGTTGTCCAGTATTGTTGACACTACTTTTATTGTTAAGACTCTTTAAATGTCCTCTACTTAAGCTAATGAGAAATGTGTCGACTTGTGCCGAATAACATTTATACCAACTCTTGCGTTAATAGATGTTTGGAATTGAAGTCTATTCTGTGATATTCTAGTATACTTAATGATGGGAGAATTCCAATGCTTCATATGCCTATCCATCATGTAAATTTACTACTAGTGAAGTTTGATGATTCTTCATTTAAGAAAGGATTCTAACAAATTAAAAGCAGAAACAAATCCGTGGTCTTCAACCATATTTTATGTGAAACATCAAGTGCTAACTTGGGAATTCAATGTACATGTTTCAGATTTGGTTGCAGAGAAAAGGTTTATAAACAAATCACGTGGAACGTTTGCTACAAGTTGGAGATGGTATGCTCTGGGATTTCCTTAAAATTTAAACTTCCTTTACATAAATTTTCAACACAATACTAGATTTACTCTTTTGTAACAAATGTTACTAATTACAGAGTATCTGCTCTAAAGTGCGTGTGAGTAAAGTAATATTCCCCACAATTTTGAAGTCAAAAGGTTTTACTCTAAAATCACCTACATCATAATGTTAACAAAAAAGCTAAAGAAGAAGCCAGACAATGCATAGCTCTGTTTAATTCCACTGTTAATGTAAAGAAAATGAATCATCGTTTTTTCCCTACTCATATATTCTGCTGCCAGATTTCCAGAACGTTAGTTTTAGATGCATAAATTCATAGAAGTCCTGTTTAAATGGTCTAGAACATTCGTAATACCAATAATAATTCCAATGACCGAATTGCGTTTGTTAATTTTGAACTAGGGACATTAATGATTCCTGTGAGATCGTTGCTTAAATACCTCCCGGGGACTTATTAGGTATATGTAGTCAAAATGCCAGAAGTTTTATTTTGAAGAACCTCCTGAAGATTCAGATTGTCAGTAAATGTTGGAGTGACTGAATTTACTGTATTTTTGTGAAGTGCTGTGATAAGTCTTAACTATAACAACACCACTTAGAGGTTTCGTAATTTACACCTATTTAATCCAATTGACATCTTAGCCATTTATTCAAATCCTAGTCCACATCGTTATAAATTAAAAATTATGGTGTTTATAACCCATACTACCTAAACGCGCAAACTGATGTACATGGAGTCAGGGTCAGTTGCCTTCTAATGACCAGTATACGCCTTTTAAAACTTATTTCGTTTTCGTTCCCTAGCTAAGTTCATTCGTTTGACAATTTTAGGATTGAAGATTTTCTTTCCTTACTATTCACCCAGGTTTATTTTGAACATGATATAATGAAAAAGTTTATTCTTTGTTCACCGCAATGTACAATCAAAAAACTAACTAAACAAAATGGGTAAGTGTTTTCCCCAATAATTATGATCGTGGCAGTTTATTCATCATTTATAAGGTATGATTATAAAAATGTTTATTCAAGAACTGTATAAATTATAGTCTGGTGGCTACGTGATTAAAACAGTAAACTCTCAGCCACTGCGTCTGAATCTCACTGCATTTACTTCAGTCCAGTATCATCGTCCTATTCCTATACAGGAACAACGTATAACAATTACGTTATGAAAGAAATTATAACAGTTTGCAGTGTTAACTAGTTATTTTCATAACGCGGTCTTTACTTACCTATATCTACAGAATAAAATTTACTCAGATTGTAGTTAGCTAGTTCGTCAACTGAAAAATAAGTCATCAGTAGGTAAATTGTCCTTCAGCGAAATTAACGAGTTGTTCTAGCAGTGCTCATTGTTAGTGTTGCGGTTATTTGATTCAGCGAAAAGTCTACTACCGTATGTTTTGAAAATAATTGTTTCTGAAATCACTACATAAATCTTCCTAATTCTGGACGAATTGGGTGATTTATCGCTTTATAAAACTAATTTTCCATTCCTGGTCTTCAAGCCCATGTCAAACAAGTTGATGTATACACATGGGTTTTTAAATATACTATTTATAGCAGTAGTCAATAATCTCTTCAGTGTTCATTCATTTATGTTGATATTTTCTATTGTTTGGAAATCTCGTGTAAAAGCTACATAAATCGATGAGATTATCAACAAGATTTGTTAATTTTGCGTATTCGGTAAATTACGATATCTTTGTCAAAATAGTTAACTAATTGTCGTAGACGACTCTCGCTTTCCAACAAACAAATGTACGTGTACTGTCCTCGGGAATATTCCAATTTCAATTCATCCCTTAGATAAATATATATACTTTAACTTTGGTGGTTTTATGGGGTGGGGCCAATTTCATTTTAATCACCAATCGATGACATGTATACTGAATCCCTCATATTCTTAATTAGTTAACGAATGTACTTTAATTCCCCATGAAAACTGTCTTTTAAGTAATTATATTTTAACTAATTTATTTTTGAATATTGGTGTTTCATTCTTCTGTCTACTGCTAAATTTTGTTATCAACAAATTATCATTTTGCTTTTGTCCTTTTGTGTAGATTTAGTGTTGGCAGAGATCTACTCATTATTTTACATGTGATATCTAAACGATCAACACATTTCTATAGTAGTTGGAAAGACGAGAAAATTTAACTTGATTGACTGTCTAGCTTTACGCGTTATTTGTAGGAATTATCCCTGTTTTTTTTAAATACTGAATAAAATAAAACCCCATTTTAGAAGAAAAACTTTATCTATTTTTCCTCTGTCTTGTCTTTGTTCAGAGCTTTTGGCTTATGATCAAAGTAAAGATTTCCAAAAATAACTAGATTTATAATGAATTTAAGAACGTATCACTGAGATACAACTCAACATTTTACAGAATAATGAGCTTAATATGACAGGTGTATAAGACGGATTCTATAATCAGCTGTTAATATATTTATATTGTCAATTATTTTGGCCATGGTAGATTATAAAAAGTGACCAACGGATGTCCGCAATGTAAATCTTGCCCTAATCGGCTTTTTTACGAGACATCTGGGATCCTGAGTCAGTCAGTCAGTCAGTCAGTCAGTAACAACGTAGAACTTCGTACGTACGTACATCAGTTCGAGTTGCCACACCACATTAGCACAGAGATACAGTTGTCGATTCAAATCCCGTAGTGGTAGAGGTAATAAGAGTATAAGCAGTAATCGGGAAGATTAGGGTTTGGAGATGTTATTTAAAGAGTATAATACAGTGAAAAAAATTTGGAAAGAGGAAAAAAGGGACATGAAGAATTCAGGAGATTAGAATTTGGGAGAACACAGAGAGTGGATGCACCTGCACCATTGCAAACGATTTTGAGCCATGTCATTCAGGGTCTCTAACCATCGGTTGCTATCATCTCGTGGTCCCCAACCAGGTAGTCTACACCTACCAACATGACTCAGTCCACTTGTCAGTGACTTCATGGACTTGTGCCATGTTTTGGTTTGGCCGCCCCTAGCTTTCTTCCAACCTACTCCTATACCACTGAACATAGCACGTCGAGGCAGTCGGTCGTTGGGCATACGTAACACGTGTCCCAGCCATCTCAACTGATGAAGTTTCACTACTTCATCAATGGATTTGCCATCCTTACCTAGTACCCGTTTCCTAACAACTGTGTTACTTACTCGATGGTCCCATGATATACGAGCAATGTTTCGAAGACACCTATGATCGAATACTAGTAACCTACGGATATCCTCTACTCTTACCGGCCATGTTTCACTGCCATAAAGTAGGACGGGACGAACTGCTGCGCAGTAAACACGTCCTTTGGTTGATAGACGGATATCTCGCCTACGCCATAAATGACGCAAGTTGGCAAAAGCTAGTCGAGCCTTCTGTCTCCGTGCTGAGATTCCGTCAGACACCAGACCACAAGGGCTGATGAGACTCCCAAGATAAGTGAAGCAGTCAACACACTCAACTACTTCACTCCCTATCATTGTTTCGGGTGTCGATGTAACCCAATCCTGAAGCAACATTTTGCATTTCGAGGGAGAGAATCGCATCCCGAACATGCTTGCATTGTTGCTTAGAGTGGTCAAAAGACTGTGCATTTTGTCAGCGTCTTCACCAAATAAAACTATGTCATCAGCATATTCTAAGTCAACAAGTGAACCTCCTGGTAGAAGTTCAACCCCTGTAAATTTAGATGAGGAAAGTGTTATCTCTAAAAGTACGTCAGACCAAAGTTGAACAAGAATGGGGAGAGTGGACAGCCCTGACGAACACCACTTGAGGTGATCAATTCTGATGACAGTTCGCCATAAGCTCTCACTCTACCAGTTGTGTTCGAGTAGAGAGCCTTTATAAGGTTAATGTACTTCTTTGGTACTCCTTTCAGTGACAAACACTGCCATAGAACCTCACGATCAATAGAGTCGAATGCCGCCTTAAGGTCGAGAAATACTACCATTGTGGGGCGTCTGAATGTGTGTCTGTGTTCTAGAACCTGACGTAGTGTGAATATCTGATCTATACAACCACGTCCAGGTCGAAAACCAGCCTGGTTTTCTCTAGTCTGCTCTTCACGAGCTTTAGTTAGGCGTCGAAGTATTATTGAGGCTAATATTTTAGACACTATATTAGTCAAACTGATTCCTCTGTGATTGTCACAAGAGGACTTTTGTCCTTTCTTATAGACTGGCACAATCAGTGATTGAGACCAGTCAGATGGGATTACGTCCAGTTCCCAAATTCTACCTAAGACCTCAGTTAATCTCATTGCTAATACTGGACCACCATCCTTAAAAATCTCAGGAGTAAACCTGTCAGGGCCTGCTGCTCTCCCTCGTTTCAGATTTCCTATGGCTTTTTCAACTTCGTAAAGGGACGGAGGACCTACATTAACTTGCCATTCAGGTTGACTGGAGATCGTTAGAAACCGAAATGTGGCTGAAGGCCAGTTGAACTGATCCCTAAAGTGTTCTGCCCATCGATCCAATCTCCTGGATTGAGAATGAATAATATGTCCATCTTTCTCTGAGATTGTTTCGCTAACGGTCGGGTTCCTAATTCCGGTTTCCTTAACGAGTCTAAACAATTGTCTGCTATTACCTATTGCCGCTGCCTTTTCCATCTCTCTTGCTTTCGCTACCCACCACTGTTCGCGATCATTGCGTAGACTTCTCGTCAGCTTGCGCTTAAGCTGACTCCGCTCTTCATTATGTTCAGAGCCAGGTGGAATGTGTTTCCGAGCATTTATCAGTGAGATAGATGCTGCTGAGATCCAGTGTTGCTCCCTAACCTTCTGGTTTACCTTACTAGCAGATATCACTGCTGTTTCCACAGCTTTTCGGATATCATTCCATGCTGCATCGGGGTGAGCATCACATACATGGCTGTCTAACTGTTTTCCTAGTTGTTCCTGAAATATACTCTTAGCTTGACTATCATTAAGTAGGGCCCTAAGAGGTTTCCTTGCAGCGTCTTTCCTACGTCCAGTAAGACGCAGACAAATACGCGCTCGCACTAGAGCATGATCTGTATCTAAGCATGTGCTCCAGAACGAGCGACAGTCTTCTATCGAGCCCCTCCATCGGTGGCTGATAGCGATGTGATCTATTTGAGTCCAACGTTGGGACGAATTAGGGGGTCGCCATGTTAAAAGATGTTTATCCTTATGCTTAAAGTTAGTATTTGCAAGGAACAGGCGGTTATCTGAGCATAGCTGCAACAGACGGTCGCCATTATCTGTTCTTTGAGCCACGACACCATAGGATCCACCTAGGTGTCTTTCCTTATCGCTTAGTTTACCTACTTGAGCATTAAAGTCACCGGCCACTATTACTACATCCGAGCGCCTAGCTTTTCGGAGAAGGTCCGAAAGCTTTCTGTAAAACTCATCTTTTACATCACCTGAGCTGCAGTCAGTGGGAGAATAAGCAGAGACGACGAAGAGGCAACGACGAGTGTCCCTATCTTTCCGGATTCTTACTGTTCCGTTCAGTCGGACAGCGCACAAACGACTGTTTACTGGGATCCACTCTAAGAGAGCTAGTTCTGCCCTAGGACTCAATGCTATACCTACGCCGGCGAGGCCACGGGAAGCAGAATCAGGGCTTCCAGATACACGAAGCGTAAATCGAGTCGGTTCTTTATTTTGGCATGGTGAGGTCAAATGAATGACGCTACTTGGATCCTGTATGCGCGTTTCGGAGACGCAGCACACATCGATGGCGCGAGATTCTAAAGTTTTAGCTAAGGAAGCCTGCTGTCCTATTTGGCAAAGTGTTCGTACGTTAAAAGCTCCTACGTGTAGTTTAGAGCGTGGTTTCAGGAGACCAGGAATAGCGTTCCACGTACTCGAATCGTTTGCCCTAGCGGTGCGAGGTGATAAAGAGACGTGAGGAGGGTTAGTCGGGAGGATAAGAGAGGTATTAGGAGGTGTAGGAAGGATTTGAATGTGACCACCTTGGTCTCTTGTGCTGTTACGGGTATGAGGGCTGATGTCACTTCCCGGCTGCCCACACCGTGGAAGGGTATTTCTTGAGGAACCTGAAAAGGAAATTGGATTAGTGTTGGTCTTGACGACCTGGGAGCGTGACCGCAGAGCCCAAGGGACAACTGCTTGAGGCCGGTCGCGCACGGCCTTTTTGTGGAAGGGTTTTGACGTGGGATCCTGAGGCAAACGATGCTTCCTTTGGTAGTTGAGCCCACTTCAGCATTGAGTACCAAACATGATAGAGACCGGTAATCTAGTCATATGATGTAACCTCACTATATGTACATTACAAATGCATCAATTTTCAAATAAGCAGCAGTCGACTAAAAAAAATAACCAAGATAGTATGGTTCCTTTAGATAGCAAGTAAATGCTGGATATAAACATTTTTAGTTTGCTCGCCCTATATTGAACAATTCAGAATGGTGTTTTATTACTTATTTAAATGCATAAACGTTGATACAAGAAAGCATCAAATATATATGCGCTACACTTCGCCATTCGATTTGTGTGAGGGATTGAATACTTCTCGGGTGCCCAAACCATAGCAAATGGTTTTCTTAAGGAGCCACTCCTCGAACATTTGACCTAGAGGTCTAAACCACAAGATGGTGGGGAACGTTAGGGGATGCAGTCCCATGGCAGCTGATGAACAACAATAGGTTCATACGTCATTTGTCCCCTCAGGACCTCAGAACCCATGTGCACCATTGGTTTGGAATCAGGGTTCATCAATTCCCCTAGGTGGACTCTCCGTGTCCGCCGATCCGGTTAAAGCGCCGAACATTCGCTTTTCGCCCTCTCAATTTTGTAAACAACACCCCCGCCGCGAGAATGTAGTGAGTATGACTTCCTTGACACGTGGTCATGTGAGAGCATTTCGAGAGAGAAATGACTTTCCCCACTCTTGACTGTACCATTTGGCGGCTGCTAAACACAAAAAACTCGAGAAATATAACCTAATCAGTGCAGGGGACTAGAAATGCATAACAATAATTCATTCATAGTTATCAATCAGTGTAAGTGTTCTCATAACGATGGGGATCAGCTTGGAAACTTTGGATATTTAGTATTCCCTAGGTTAGGCATATATAGTTGATGTGATAACCACGTGTCTGGACTCTTATAATTTACTCACAGGTTATTTGTTCTTATTATCACCCGAAACAGTCTATATTATCAGGGTGTGTGTTACAATCGATTTGCTCATCCACAAGTTAGGGGCGGCCAAACCAAAACGTGGCATCAGTGCTTGAAGTCACTAACTTCTAGTCTGAGCCATGTTGGTAGATGCAGACTACTTGGTTGGGGTCCGCGTGACTATCGTAACCAATGATTGGAGACTCTGGGTGACATGGCTCAGAATCGATCACAATGGCATCGGTGCATACACTCCCTGTCTTCCCTTAAACAAAGAGATTAAAATCGCTTCATATCTTTCTTTCTACGAACCAATTTTTTTTCTTGTACTATATCTCTATATGCAATCTTTCTCTTATATATTACCACCTTTGACCTAACCACTGCTATGAATCCGGTGTTCATCTTGTTGTGCTGATGCGGTATGGCAACCTGGACCGATGCACATATGTGCCTGGTCCTACGTTGTAGTTGACTGACTGACTGCTCATCCACTATTGAACTTAATTTTACGAAACTTAACATTTTCTGATGAAAATGTCCCTTAATTTACACAGATTCGCATTTAGGTAACAAAGTCTTAGAGACTCGATATCTTATCGCACTTCTTTTGATGTTCAATGATTAGAAACAATCAGCAGTATTCCCTTTAACTTAGTTTTTATGTTAATCGACATTCGTCAGCAATCCAATATTAAGACTTGGGACATTTGATTGTCCAAACCTTTCTCAGTTTTCCGCTCTTGACACATTGCGTAAGCTATTGTGTTCCATTAAAGACTGAGTAATTTAGATAAAATGGAATTACATTAGCAGCAACGGTTTGGGAATGGTTTCGGCCCATGCTCCATTAGGAGTAACAGGCGTAAGGAAGTAAGTAATTCTTTTATTGTTAAACGATATCGTTAAATTAAACAGATGTATACTGTCCGGAGGGTTAAGAATTAATAATAGGGAGCTACAAAAATTACGCCGTATATATATAATTTAGTCTTGAGAACAATCTACTAGATAAATGAATGTATGGTATGTTGGGTTTAAAAATAAAACCATGTACAAATAACAAATTTAGAGAAATTAAAAACGGATAATAATTTTCCATATATATAAGAATGATATGTATGCATGAGCAAATCATCAACGCTAACTTGATAAAAAAGTGGAATGAGATAATGGGAAAAATATTCAAAGAGAAAAACAGTAATCATAATAAGCATAAAATAATATGTAAAGGACAATAAATGTATAGTGGGTGGTACAATAAGTAAGTGTGCGTGTGTATACTACGTATGAATGGATAAGTGCGAAAAAAAGTCTCAAATATTGTTTGAATAATTGTTATGTAAATCACAGAGGGTAAAATATTTTAAAAAACCTGTTAACAATCACATAACAAATAAAAACTGTGGAAAGGATCAAATATGTTTTCAAAAAAATGGAAGCCCCACGCTGAGTATGTATAATAGAAGAGAACGACGACCAGATAATAAAGTTTGTTACGTGGTGGGTTTTCTTCGAATTATAACATGCCTTCTACGTTTCCTGATTGTCTTCGATGCTGAAATATATACAAGAAAATACGCTAACAATGTATAATACCAACATCTTAAAAGAATGATAACTGAATTAATTATTCGTCCTGATATTTTCAGAACACAGCCCACCGTAAAAATTACCTCATAATATCATGCCGGTAATCCTATTCAGGGTGATGTAAGCAAAAATTAAATACCACAAGATATGAATTGATTTCCTGAACCATAAAAAGCACTTACTCATTGAGGCTACCAGTAGATCCAAAAGAGACAGTCATATTTTAGAAATTTGAAAAATATGATACTGCGAGTTAGATTCGTCTAGATACACTGACTGTAAGCTTGATTCTTAAAGAATGAAATAGCTAAGTGGTATTTGTATTAATTATAAAACAAACCAGCTGACGTTATATAGAAAACACAAAGTAAAAAGATCTAAATGGACTAACCCAACGATCAATACAAGAGAACATACATGATCAATCAGTTTGCCAGCTATTGCAAGACTATAAAGTACTGGATGACTGCTTTTGCTTAAAGCTTACACCAACTTGCTCATTGTTGGCTACATTGAAAATCGAAATAAAAAATTTACTGACACTATTTAACTTTATGATGTGTTTAAATTTTGTATACGATTAAAGTTATAATAAAGTACGTAATTATAGAATACTGGTTTTAGTATTGCATCACTTTGCAGTAGTAAGCAGTATCGCCAATTTTAAGTATAATTGCTACGGTTTGGATTGGTAAATGAAAAAAACCGAGTATCTGGAAGATATATATATATAATCACATTAAATTAATTCAAGTTTAAGGTTTCCATTTATATGAGGTTCGAAAAACTGCGAACATCGAATTATCCTAAACACAGCAAAAGATATCTCCTTGATTCACTTTAATCATCATCGAAACATATCATAAGACTAAAACGAGGCTAACATCTTAGATAGAACTCGTGTGATGAAAATGTGAGTGTAGAAGGGAGTAAGCATCAACTGCTAAGTTTACTCAGTAGAAATAAGCCTGAATCCCATAACCAATACTCGTGAGTTTAAACATTTACCTGGTTTCCATCCATCAAATGAATTAACAAACCAATAAATCAGAAATAAGTAATATAATTGTAATAAGCTGTGTAAACCAGCATTATTATTATCGAAGCAAAAATATATTGTACCATGCACAAATAATAAACACCGCCTTTACTCTAAACTCACTGATCGTCCGGAATGTCTAGGTCTATTATGATTAGATACTGCACTGTAATGATCGGTCTGTAATTGTTTTCGATGTTTAGAACTGGATTTGTATTGATTATGATCAGCCTTATCTTCAGTGAGCGTTACAGTTTGTTCATCATCATTCTCTTCTGAATGATATTGTTGTTTCTTCTTAAAATGAGGGGAATTCAAAGGGCGCAGTTGATCAGATCGTTTCAACCTATCTACTTCCTGATTATGGTGATTATTAGGAAGCATTACACCTCCGAATACTGGCACACCACCTACAGGAGGCTTATGACTAGATGACAAATTGCTTATTCTCGTATTCGGATCATAAGTGTAATTATCTTTTTGTTGGACAGTATTCGTTGATGACTCATCATGATGCTTCTTATGACGATGTGTTTTAGTATTTGCATATATAGGAGAATTCGGTCTACGCTCATTTATGGAATTTGATATCTCAGAAGGATGTCTACCTTTACGATCGTTTTGACCATGTTGAATAATAGGATAATCACTTGATTGAGATCCACCTGTAACAGACAACATTTCGTCTGGTTTACCTTTTCCAGAGTGTCGATAATTTACATAATCATTATAAGGAGCTTCATTATCATAACTTTCGTTTACAGACCCATATGATAAAATATTTGAAACACCATCACTATATTGTTTACTCATTTGAGACTGTACATCTTGTACTTCAGACACAACAGACTCAGAATATGGATGATGTCGTGGAACAGTTCCGTATAATTGCGTTGCATTACTATTCCCATTTACCTAAAATGATACGCAACAGATATATACATAATGCTTAAGCATAAAAAACTGGTATGTAAAAGACAATTGCACTGTAACAAACTATTTGTTGGCTGTAGGTTTTGTAGATTGAATCAGAAAATTTCGCAAGAAATCTGGGATTTGAAAGTATACAACACGAATATCTGTAATAATCAATCAAAGGTAGGGATTAAATAGAGACAAAACCGGAGAATACATACTTACTCAAACGAGTAAAATTAGTTTCATAATACAATGTATCTTTCGGTGGAAATAGGTTACATAAGAAAAACAATTACGTTAATAAAATATGGCAAAGGCTGTCAACAAATGCCTATTTAGAAATCAAGCAATTCACACAGATACATAAATTCTCATACGCGCAATCAATAAATCGACTACGGGAAAAAGGTAAACAACATGGAATGAAGAACAGAAATAAATTTAAATTTACCAATTTTCTTGAAGTAGATTATTCTAAACCATATAAATGAGAACAAAGTCATAAAACTCCAAAAGACAAGTTGCCTTATTTTCTATCATCCATATATTTTCATTAAATAATGCAACTCAGTTACCAAGTTGCCAGGTTTATGTGTACTGATTTTTGAGCCATTAACCTACTTTTCTACTGACGAATATATAACACTCGCATTGCAACTAACAATTTTAACTGCTAAAAAGACACTATAATAGTAAGTGGTAGTATCTGTGTAACGTGATAAATGGTTAATACTTACTTCCATGCTCAACGGTGATGATCCAAAGTAATGTCACCATCATCAGATGATTTGACGTGTATTAGTTGCTCAATGTTTATAGTTAATAAACACGATTTATTAACACTAATGAGTAAGAGATGAATTTAGTTCACCCTGTGTTATTTTAGTATTACAACAAGGGACATAGTTACTGAGTTGTATAGACAATAAATGGTATCTATGAAAAAATCACACGATATCAGCTACTTAACTATTATAGTGCCTTAAAAAATATAATCCAGACTGAATAAGACCAATAAAAGAACATATTTTCAATTTACAAAATAATCAGCAAACGCTGTAGTAAACTGGTTTATTGAACTGTTGAATAATATCAATTAGGAAAACATACGCAGAAATCTGAATGTCAAAGTAAACGCTTAATTAATAGCATCATTAGACCTTTTTCTTATAACAATATTCAAGATTTAATACCTAGTTCTATTCCCATATGAAAATAATATAGATGACCTCGATTATTTACGCAAATTAAGCTAATTTATATGTATAACACTGATTATTTCCTGCATGAAATGAGAAACGTTTTAAAAGATTTAGGTTTTTAAAAATATTTAAACTTTTTTAAGATAGTGAACAAAAACCAATTACCGTAACAAAAGACTACAACACCTAAGGACAAACATCAATTCTTTTCAACACATAAAAAACGAAAAAGTAATATAGATAATTGTATTAGAGGCAGTAGTGAGAAACGATTCATTGAATTTCTACAAAGTTGTCTATTAATTTGTATGATTAAGGTAACTATACAATTACTCTAATGCGATGTAATTCTTTTTACTATCGTCTAAAAGTCGATAAATATTAAAATTACTAGAGATCTTATTTGTTCTTAATGATATAACAAGGCAAGAATTAAGCTTGATTGTCAGGTACTAATTCCGTTGGAGAATGAAAAACTTATAATTCTCACATCTTCCAATCATTAATTTGTCAAATGACTTGTAATCAATGTCTCTTCTTGTGTTCATGTATATAAATAAGCTGTCCTGTCTTCCGATATTAGTTTAATTGACGGCTTACGTCAATAATTCAGTCTCATGAACAGTTATCACTCGACTAAATTGCATCACTGCATAATATCAATCGACCAGTGAATTCTCTTTATTCATTTAACAGTACCCAAACGTCTTTTCATTACAGTTGGTAACATAAAATACGTCCGTAACCCCAATGATCAAGCAGATATCCTTATGCCCTGGTGCATGCTATATATTTTGTTTTCCTCAACAGCCCAAACCAAATGAGGTGTTGGAGAAATTAAGCGTATAGATAAGTAAGTGAATAAAAACAAGTGGTTAAATTACTAAGCCACAATTTGATTATAAGGTTATCATTAAAAAATTCGAAAGGTTATTTCAATCTGAAACCTTTTGTGTCACGGATTGGCATCAATTACAGAGCTGTTGAACAGTTGCTACGATTTCAACAGTAAGCACCTAGGACTCTGTGTAAGATTGAAGCCAGGACTTTGAGATCTCAACATGAGTACAATTCCATTAAGTCGCTGAGACAATCGACCGGTTCACATTCTCAAATTGAATCAACTCGACACACAGCGTAGTCGTTATTCACTGTAACTGGAGAGTAACTGATTATTTGGTGATATGATTGAACTCCATCAGACAGAATTTCTACAGAGATTTCGTGAATCTGTTTTGAAATTATTCACAAATTAGCACATGATTATCAACTAAGCGTGTTATTTTATAGTACTGAATTGCTAATTGTCATTTGACAAAAAAGGTAGAATAAGCAAAAGGAACTTACTCCACTACCCATTTGAACAGAACCAAATCTTCGTAATCCTTGTAACTGATCATTATTTTGAATTTTGCCTACAGTCATATCACGTGGATGTGCTCTGTTTAATGTATGCATATTCATAGCTGAAATTAATGATTAGAACTAAAGTTTCTAACTGTAGAACATTAAAAAAAATATTGAACAACAAAACTATTTTATCGGAAATTTATAATAAATATAGAGTATCAAAAATGGTAATATAGTGAGAATAACAAAACACAGAAATAATTCAGTGATAATCAACTCGTATTTTTGTAAAAGGAACAAACAGGTTGATGATCAAATGAGATTCGAATTTTGAAAAATACATCCACTGCTAATTTATTCAATGTTGTTTTAGCACTTGTGATGATGGTTGTTCATATCCTTATTAATAATTACCTATCGGAAAATGTATTACCATTGAATCAATCAGTAAATGATCTCATTCTGCTCAATATAACTTTTTTTACTTCATTCAATATAATCTTTTCTTTCGAACTATTTTAAATAAGGGTGGGGGTGTGATTAAGTAGTGAAGACGTTCAACTTTCAGCCTTTAGTGAGTCGCAGGTTCGAATTCCGTTCTACATACTACAATTTAGACACTCACGATTTTCAGTCAGGCTTTTTGGCTCAATCGGTTAGCCAGTGGAAACAGAAATTCCAGATTAGATATTTTATCATATCTCATTATCATCCTTGAAAACGTAAATAGAAACCAACCAATAAAGGCCTTCTAAATTGGCATTTCAATTTTTGGAAAAATTGCATACAATGAAACGGAATAACAGTCAACTCTACTAGTTGATTAAAGAATTATACTAGATAGATAATTTTATTATGACAAACGCTTCTTCAATTCGATACATTGCGTAATTTCAGTAGTCAGTTAGTATGCCATAAATAACCATAACGCCAAGTATTTTATGTGAAGAAACGAATTGTCATTATCTCTAACAAAGCAACATTGTACTCCTAAATTATGGTATTTCATGTGATAATGAGAAAAATATTTTAGAAGTCACATGATTGTATTGTATATGACGATAAGTAAACAAATGAATGAGTTTACTTCTTATTTATTTATTTATTTACTTATATGAAACAGAAACGATTTGATACAATGAAGTACTTAAAACCAATGCCCCATACGAAACGAGACAGCATTCTTGTTAATACATCAAAAGAAAGCAAAAACCGGTAACAAAATCATCAGTGACAAGTGAAATATAACATTGCATACTCTCCAAATTATACAACTTATTAATATTATAGTATTGCAGTTACCCTAATTCATAGCTTTTTTATTTCTTAGTTTAAATAAACAGCGCTTATAATAAGATCGGGATACAAGAGAACCTCATACTACATTAATACATCGTTAATTTGACATGGCAAAACCAAGAATTTCCTTTTAAAAACGAAAACACAACTTCATAATCACACACAGACTGGTGGGTTTCACTTTAAACCATGCTTTCCGCCTAACCCAGCCAGTTAAGTCCAGAACACTAGTCTCAGCCTCTGCAATATAAATCCTTATATTTCAAAAATACTGAGTATATATACCAATCAAACAGACCACAACGTAGCATAAAATAGAAAATAACATTTGTACAAAATCTGGACAAATGTGGCTGTGAATGTGGGAGACAGTTACTAATAGACAGGGCATAATTCAAGAATGGTTAAATGTATAATAATGGTTCATAGGTCAAAATAAATTTTATAATAAGAGGAATATGAACATGAATAGTTTAGTTACTTAACAATTATACGATAAAAATATACGTTTAGTATTGATCCATAAAAAAATCCCAAAGTTACCATTCATTATATTTATCGGGACCTAACATACGGCTAGTTAGATTGGTGATGTGATGGCCACTGTTGCTATGCACGACTGGATAAAACTATAATTCAGTGGTTGGAATTTAATTTTTCGCCAGTAAAACACTGTTCCGCAATGACTGATTAAGCTAAAGCTAACACATTTGTTAAGATCTCCTTATACGACTCAGCTACTCTTATTGCTCAGCATTCTTTGGACACTTCACTCGACTAGTCGTCAAATCAAAACATTCCTAGACAGGAATGAAGTTATATTTTGAATAAACTAAGTTAAATGGGAATAAAAATCACAATTAGAACGTTAATATACTTGTAATTTTACACCATAAAATTGTAGCGCAGATTGCTAAAGAAACAACCAGTAAACGTGCCCCAACACAATCCTGGACGGAACATAGTTTAATTCAATCTACATCCCACTAACATTTAACGAAAATATATGGCCATCCACGATCGATTATATATATATATATATATATATATATATATATATATATATATATATATATATATATATATATATATATATATAAATTATTGGCTTGATACAGAAAGAAAACCGGTATAATTAACTCTAGTTAACCTAAAACGAAATAAAGTTATTCTCCAAAATGCAAATTCATCCTATTGTTTAATAAATCAATTTTGCACCTTAGAATAATAATCTTAAAGTACAAGTACTCAAAATTCTTAAGACTTAACTAATTTGCATCTTAATTTTTAATAAATCAGCTATAATAATCGATTAATGAGTAGATTTCTCTCGGAAAATCATTGAGTAATAAAGTTAACTAAAGTACAATAAATAACTGAAACTAAAATGTAAAATTTATTAATAAGGTCACAACTTATCGTAGCCATTTGCCTTTATCCACTAATGTCTACTTATTTGCTTGTCTTTTTTAAAAAAAGAATAGCTTCTCGCTAATTTGTGGTAAGTATATATACATATATATACAAACTCAAGGTATCCTATGTGAATCGCATAGATATTGCCATAAGTATTTTGAACAGAGTTGGATGTTGGCTAGCAGTGAAATCCAGGAAACATGTCAATAAAAGACTGATCAGTTGCAGTCCTAAGCATTCAAATAACCGATAGAAAGAAATTAAGCTTCACTTAATTGCAAAAGCCAGTGGCTATCTGAATTCGGTAGCTAAGTGGATAGAACGTTGACGTTTGGAGCGAACGGTACTGCGTTCGAGTCCAGGATGAATATCAACTCTGAAATGCAGGTGTATCCGACTGATGAGTCCCAAGTAGGGCGAAACACGTTCCCCTCTAGCCACTAACCAACTCTGGTCAATACAATCTTAAGAGTTACCACGATCCCGGTGAGAAAGTCACTATCTCCATTTAGTGGATTAGTGGATAACGTATCGGTGTTTGAAGCGATTGGTGTAAACACCAACCTAGAGATGCACGTATATGTAACTAAAGCATCCGAAAAAGGACGAAACAGGTATTCTTGACTCTACGAATAACACTAAATACTTATGTACATATCGTTTCCTAAAGTATTTGTTGTTACCAATTAGTTTTCGACATCATTTCTTATCATTTACTATTTGTTTAAAAATACTGTTGTAATTAAAAGTATCAATGTTTTCGGATTGTTTTGACAAAAAGGCAAAATACTAATTCTACTTACCTGCATTTAAACCAGTAGGCATACTTGCCGTACGTCGCTTCAACATTGAACGATTAAACCGTGGATGTGGCCTATCAATATTCGTTGTACGATATTGGAAGAATGTTCGTCCTGTATAACGAAATTGTGATTTACTTAAACTAGGTGTTGATAAAGGTCTTTTAGGTGCTGGCGTTTCTTTCAGTCGAAAAAATGCATGATGTTCGACGGCAGCTTTCCACAGTCGATTAGCTAAATGTGGATTTAACAAACGAAAGCCTACAATAGCTTCTACAGGTTCTGACTAAAATTGAACAAAAAAGGCAGTTATTAGATAGGCAAGAAAATATGTCAATATTGTAAACGGGATTATCCACTACGTAAATTAAACTGTCATAATGATTGAGTATAAGTTGATACCTCAAATGTAACCAAATTATATCTATAGGTGTCATTACCAAGGTTTGATTTGATAATTTCGAATAAATTGAGCATTGGGTTGATTACAAATATATTATTTTTATTTACAAATTATATCTAGTTTTGATTCAGAGCGAAAGCAAAGATATATTTAAGTTTGAAGAAGAAAAGACTAACGATGTAAGCGTAAAATGTTAACTAGGGCGATTATATTATATAAAGTACTTAAATATGGGACGATAGTTTTATTCTAGTGATCAGTAAACAGTTATAAAACTCCTACTAAGCTGAACTTTCAAACATTCAATATAGAACGGATTGTTATATTATTAATAATTAAACTAATTCAAGGGTACTACGAAAAAATGCGATACCTTTTCGACAGAAAGTATATACTACACAGAAAAAAATCTCAATTTAATTCAATCATCAACAAAAATTAGTCATTGTGATAGAAAGACCAAAGTGTTTCTGAAACAGTCAGTTTCTTGAATACTCGAGCACACCTGTTTCTCATCTTTCAATTTGATTAATATGCACATGAAAACTAATGTCATGCAACCTATAGATTTAAAGCCCGGAAATCGATCATGGAACATTTCATTCATACATGCATGAGCAAATATATACACACAAACAAACACTTGTAGAAAAGGTTAACATGATATTGGAAAAACCGAAAATATGATAAACTATTCGTACAACACGGTCACACAGTTGTTTTGCTCATTAGATGAACTGCATAAAAGATACTAAGACAAAGTGAAAAAATTGTTTGTTACGCACTATTTATCAATTAGAGTTGTAGCATACTTGCGTGTACGAGTAAGAAAACCAGTTTAATTTTCGTTGCTCTCTTTCTCACACACAGATACACATTTCTATACATTTATTCACAAAATGACTTATAAGTCTAGCCACAATAAATCAATTCAATGTGTAGTGAATTGTAGTTTAGCGTAAACTTTGATAATTTAATTCAGTTTACTAGTTGACTTTTCCTTGAGTAATTTCGATTATGACAGTTAGTTAGTTAGCAGGAAACAACAAATTCCAAAAATACGATTTTTGTGAATGACTGGCTTAATATGAATGTGACATCGATAAAAGAGAAACATCATTGATAAGTTTACGGAATAAAGGGTTTATTTTTCACTAGCTGTAATCTGTACTCATATAACGTATGAGCACAAAGATTTTCTTTACATTACAAAAATTTGAAAGTAGATCAAATAGGACTTCGCGATAAAATAATACAGATAACATGTTTCCGAAATTCTGTTGATCGGTATATTCAATACATGATGTAGTTACTTAATCGTTTCTATTAAAAAAAACCTCTACAATAGTGTACCAGAGATATCAAAGATTAGTTTCATAGATGCATCTCACTTATAAGTTGATTTCACTACTAAATGAGTATACTGAATGAACATTATCTATTTAGTTAACTAAAACATATCTAAGACAAGAAAAAGCAGTCGAGAAAATAAGTAAAACTGTTGGCTTTGAGCAAACCGTCAATATATGAATTTCGTCTAAAAATAAAGTTAATCTATCCGATTGTTAGTATCCTGGTTTTTTGATCCAGTGAAAAGGATTTCGATATCCAGTGGTTGATTAATGAAGAAGTCAAAGCATCGGAATCGGCTACAAATAAAGACTCAGTTGACGTTTTGGGGACAGTACTTTTACTAAATATATTAGTCATTACCATATTTACGTCAAGTTGAAGTCCATTGAAACCTTAATAACCTATCATATCACAACCGAAAAATACCAAATAATTCAACAATGCCAACACTAATTTAAACTACTGTAAATGATCATTTTCAAATAAATTCTTTGCAGAATTTACAAGTCCTTTGAGAAGAATTATTATGCTGATGAGTCTCATATTAAAAAGAATTGTTTGATACTCCTTGGTCATCCATATTTCTTCAGATAAAGTAAGTCCTTGACGAAAACCATCTTCACAGTTAGGAAATATCAATAAAGACAATAATTTAAATTGTTACTAACGACCTATAAAATACTTCATACTTTTTCAAATAACTCAGGATGACGTATTATCTTGTTTAAGAGTTTAAGCTAACAATAACTTGTGGGTGAAAAACTACTTGAACACATTATACTGTTAAAATATTTTTCAAGAGGTTGATAGGGTAGAGTAGAGCTGGGTGGATAACAAGTTAAGAAAACTTATAAAATTTCATAGAAAATCTAACTAAAAAATAAAACATTGATGTTAAACACGGGGATTTTATATAAATGCGTTACAATGGATACCAGTAAAATGAAGAAATTGTTGTGAAAAAATACTTAAGGCCATTTACAGTTAGGAAAATATTTTGGTCAACAAGGCAAAAGTCACGATGCATACACGCACACAGATACCAAGGATGCGAATAAGAAAAGTGGACAATAAAATTATCAATAGCTACGTCTGGAATGGTTTCGTGACAAATAGTTACGGATTAACTGAGTAGCTAGTCCTGTGATATGATAATCGTGATGTAAGCAATATGTTGGCAAAAGTCAACGAGGAGTATCAATACAACTGCAAAATATATGACCCAGTAGTTAATTATGTTTAATAAGCTGTAGTATTTGCTTTCACATTTATTTTCAGCACGATTCTCTTTTCTACAAACTAGAATACTAACTCCATTAAAAATTATAAACAATTGAAAAGTGTGATGATGGAAAATATTAGTGAAACAAGTTTAGACCAAATTATTTTGGTTTTGTAGCATATGCACGGAAAAAATGCCTCGAAATGTTATTGACGACCTTAAGATGCAACCATATATGTTGTGAAAGAAAACAATATAAACTGAGTTGTATAGAAAAATGATACTCTTGCAGGACAAGCTATTGGGCTGAAAGAATACTTATTTAGTGAAATTACGTAATGTTTATGCAATATGTACAACTAATCTCTAATCACCTCTTTTCATCCCGTTGTGTTCTGCAATCCAGGTTGGATCTAGACTGTCTTCTCTTGCTTCCTTCCTGGTATCCAACGTATTCAGTATACTCTATGCTTTTTGACCTCCTGCGACTCGTCTCTCTGGCTGTCGACAGTAGCAACTTCCACGAGACGATTCATTACATACCACTTATAAGTAATCCTGTGAGTAACATTCATTACACTAACCGGCTAAAGTTAAACACGTTACTGACGCATAATATTGTAATTTTCCAAACTAAAGTAGCTAAAAGTTTTATAAAATAGATGGATTGTCGTTCGGTGGATAACTTCTCGGATGTTTGAAGCGAAAAGTAATAAGTACAAGTCCTTAGGTGAAGCAAGTACATTTAAATGACGAGTTACAAAAAAATGAAATGCGCACCCTGAATTTCAATGCCTGGCACAACCCATCTATTCAATAAAACTTGTAACAATACGGCTATATCGAAGCAACCATCACAGGATTCACACAACCCTACTAAAACTGATCAAAATTCAGTCAAGATTATAAACAATGGGATAATGGAAGCCCTCACAAATTAAATTAAGTAGTTCTGATACCAAAAATTTATGGTAGCTATTCACATGATGTGCATTTTATTCAATGTGTACATAAGAACAAGTATTTAAAGTAAACCAAATAACTTACATAATCAGGTCGAATTTTTAAATAGAAATTATTTTTTTTATACGATATACGTAGAACTTTAGGCCATGCGAATCGACCAATACGCAGTCGGTCACGGTAAATAACTACACCATGAAAACCAACACCAATATAAATATCTACATTTTCCGTATCTTTAGCCGGGTGTAAATCAACACCGTATAGTTCCAACCGTTTAGCAGTCTCTAAATATTTAATATCAGCTTCATTCGGTTTCATACCACTGGAATAAAGTAAAAAGTGTGTCATTAGTAGTGTGTTCGTATATATATATATATAATATACTAGCACTAAATGCATTAAATTGAGTATATTCAACGAGTCCTGAAAATATAGTTGTAATAGCTTTATTTACATGCATGAAATGAATCAAGTATATGTTTATGAGTAAATATTATCCACCAAAAACTATTAGATATAATATTAAAGTGAGTTTTACTCAGCAATAAAAACAATAGGCCATTGAAGTGCTGTTAACTTTTATTCAGGGTTCCTTATCCATGAATACAGGATCCAACTTGAAAACTTCCTATAAATCCTTGAAAATTCCCATTTCGACATTTGGTAAATAAAGAAGGAACGAATTGAGCGAAGAAATTTCTTTTCGATTAGTTTTTCATCATGGCTCTACAATAATATATATATATATATATGGGTGGTTGCAGAAGATAGCATTTAATCTGGCTGCATTAAATGTTTTTTGTACAGCTCTTCTTAGTTTCTGAGTCACGACTTTTTCAGTGGTGTCATCTATGAATTGTAATTTTATGGAAAGTACTTTCTTAGGGACGGTAGGTATCTTTGCCCTTGTTTTCTTCTCCATTATGTGCTTGCTTGCTTACTTAGTATGAGTGGGTACCCTATGAAATTCATCGACAATCACAGGTAGGACAGTCTGATCGATGTTGTCGAGGCAACAAATCAGTTGAACTGCTCTTCGAAAAACTCTGCCCATCGTCCAAGACGTCGGTAGATGTTAGTGATTGGTATCCCATCATCTTCACATATTGTTTCACTCACACCAGACGTCTTGCTGCCAGTGACTTGGATGAGTTCAAAGAGCTCCTGGCAGCTACCAGATGCAGCGGCTGCATCTAACTCGCCTGCACGCTCCAACTACCAGACTTTTCGGTCCTTACACAAGTTTCGCATAATTTCATTACGTAAAAGTCTTCGTTTATGGTCAAACTCGCGGTCGCCCGGAGACCGACGGACTTCAATGAGTTGTAAGGAGCCTGAAGAAATCCAGTGCTTATGAGCGGGACGTTTCACGAAGCTGCAGGCGACTTAACTTGCACTCAACTGCGGCAAACGCTCATCTATCCTTTTAGGTGGGCTGACAGCTAGCCTTGAAGCTAGCTCGGTTTAATATTTAGTCTCAAGAGAAGCTGCAACTAAGTTTCTGACATCGATCCGTTTACGACGATGAACTTGCCGACCACTGAGACGTGAGGTAAGATTAGCGCAAACAAAGGCACGACCAGAGTCTAGACAGGCACTCCCAAAGGAGCATCAATCTTGAACACAACCACGCCAGCAGTAGCTGGTCGCGATTTTATCAATCTGAGTTCAAGCTTGAGATGCAGAGAGGCGACGCCAGTGAGCATGTCGGCGATGACTGTGCCAGAAACGGGTTGCAGCCTGCGCACAGATGCAGTTGAAGGTCAATATCTGACCTACGACTAACAGGTCCCCATCGATCACCTATACGACTCTCTTCTGTGACTAGACACCCAACCTGAGCATTCGAATTGCCAGCTTGTACTACAATATCGGTCGGAATCACTTTCTGTAGAAGAACAGTTAACTGGTGATAAAACTCATCCTTGATCGCATTCGGGCCGCAACCTGTCGGAGTGTAGGTGATGACGAAAAGCCATCGTTCCTCACACCGATTTCTTCTTACTTTGATGAAGCTTTCTAATCTAACAGCACATAACCGACTGTTAGTGGAGATCCAATCGATCAGTGTTGTCTCGGCTCTAGTGCTTAGTGCGACACCAACGCCAGAAAAACCAGACGAAGATGCCACAAAGTCCCCGGATTAACACACACAAAACAAGCTATTCGAAAAGACAGATGAAGAGTGAATTTGTAGTACTCCACTAGTCTTGAATACGGGTCTCCGATAGACAACAGATATCGATATTGGGACATTCTAAAGATATAGCCGACACTATCTATTGTCTGATCTGCATCAGTGTGAGAACGTTGAAGGCAGTTTAAATGGTATACGTGATTTCAAAAAGACTGATCCAATATTCGAAGTAAGTGGTAGCATTCAACTTCCGACCAATCAGTGAATTGAGGTGGTTTGGATAGGACAAAGTTTCCACTATACGCGAGCTGAAAAATAAAATACTTAAAATGAGAATAAAGGGGAATACCTAAGTAACGTAATATGGAAGAAATAAAAATGAATGTTATCATATGATTGTGGATAAGATTTATCTGAGTGAGAGTTGAAGCAAGGATAATTTTCCCAGTAGTGATTATCATTCATTTTTGTGAGGGCTGTGATATTCCCCGAGTGCCAAAACCGAAACATTATTCAGATTTGTTTATTAAGCACAGAGTTAAGCATCCAGTCACGTCTTTCGCGCATGACGCTTACTAGTACAATCTGAAAATGAAGTGGATTCGAGTCGGAGAAGAGCAAACTAAACGGTCAAAAGTCAAATGCTCTATTCGTTCATTCAGTTGCCAGAAAGATATGTTACCATCCCTAAGGCACTGAACATTTATCATTATCAACTAAAGAAGACTAAATACAATTCAGAGTATACAACTCAATATGTAATAAAATAGTTAAGGTAAAAAATTTGTCGGTAATAACCTAATAATCATATAAATATTTGAATGCGGGTTGTTTAATTAAAATGACAATGTAGAAACATGATGGTTTACATTAAGCTTTACTTAATAAAATATTTCGGTAAATGTTAATGAAAATAATAAACTCAAGAACATGAGAAATAATAATAAAAGATAAAACGACTTTTATCATAACCTTAGATTTAAACTTTACTATAGAAGAAATATAAAGTGAAGACTATGCTAAGAAATGATCTTGAAAAAGGAATGTTTATAAATTCGAAATATATAGCAAATTATAATACAAATAATTGGAATACATTAAATAGTGGCTGACAATTGAAACAATGATGCTGTTTTGGGAACCTACAAGCTTTCAGTCCGTTACGATCAACGTAGGATCCGACACAACTGTACATCGGATGCAGTTGATACATAAAAACTGCAAGCAAAAATATCAATCAATAAAATTGATGAAAGCTATGAATTAAGTGGAAACAAAGATCAATGCTCCAGCTTGAAGTTTCTAATTGAGATCACCGTTACTTGTAGTACTTAGACTGGAAACAAGAAATCTTTTATCATTAAATTTCGACGTTTAGTTGTGCAACCTAAGTAGTTTGAAAATAAACCAAGTCTCCTCTAGGTACAGAGACAATTTTACTCAAACCCAATCACTTAAATGTCAAAATAAGGAACACCTTCACTGGCAAACTAAACTTTTTGAAACGTTATAGTTCCCGCGGTTGATAACCAAGCCGAATGGCTCCAAAGGCAAGCAGAAGATTTAAAATAATGTTACTCACGTCCCACCAGGATCATATAACGATAAATAATCATGTATACTAGTCATGGGTTCCAAGATATTATATGGATAAAAGTAGCCACTTCTTATACAAAATAAACTGTTGGAATGATCATTTTAAACACTGTACGTTAGTAAAGTTGTAGTAACGTAAACACCTAAAGGTTTCTCCACTATATTCCCTTGGTCACCATTTACATACATAAACACTTAAACCCAAACAAATTAAAATGAACCAGTATTATTTGTTGAGACAATTTAGTTTAACGGCAAGAAATTAAGACAAGTTCATTTAAGGTAAGGAATAATACGAATGCACTAACAGCTGAATGACAGCAGTGTTCAGTTTAAATAGCTCAAAACCCCGGGCAACAGCCCAGCATAGTCATCATCACCAGATGACTGAGTGATTTAGATTATGAATACTTTTCATGACCCAAGAAATCAAATATGAATTCACATATTTTTCTAGACAAAAAAACTACTCACGTATGGGTTTTATGCAATTCCACAATTTTTTTCAACAATTGAGGTGTAGGTGATGGTACAAATTCAAATTCATTTAAATAATCTAACCCAATATGTTTGTCAGGATCAAAATCGCCTAATTCTGCCTGTACCATAAATGAACCTAATAATGCTTGTGTAACCCACGAACAAGGAAGTTTCCCAGTGTAAATATCTTGTCGAATTTGTAAAGTAAGCTGATAGCGTGTCAACTCTTCTTGCAACAAGGATGGCTCAGGAGGGTAAAATTTAACTTGAAAATAAAATAACCGTTGCTCGTTATCTAATGAAAAAAAGTTGTAAAAAAATATTAGGATGTATACATGTGGATATTAAACTACAAAATAAATACAGTATCCCATTAACTAAATAAATCATACAGTACGTTTGGTCCTTTATTCGCTGAATGATAATTAAGCCATATAACCGTGATATTACATGACATTTCAATGGAAACAACTCAATCCAAAGCGAAAATATTACCTTATCATCATATAAAATACAATCGTACTACTAAATAGCAGTAATTAAATATTTCTAAATCAGTTCCTATGAGCCCCTGATAACCTCGGTTAGAAAATGAGTAAAATGGTCGTCCTTTGCTGATACAAAACGTATCACGTGGCGTGAGCCAAACGAATGCTTTCCAAAAATCATAAAATGTGAAAGTTTTATTTGTGGCTTGCTTACTTAATTACGCCTGTTATCCCTAGTGGAGAAGCATAGCCCGCCCAACAGGATTCTCTAACCAACTCTGTTCTGGGCAATCCTTACCAGTAGTTTTGACTTGCTATCCGTACCTATGATACCTGCCTCCAATGTTCGACGCAATGCGCCCCTCGGTCTTCCTCTTTTCTTTTTTTCTGGTGATCCCACGTTTAGCGCTTACCTTGTGGTGCAATCCGGTGATTTCCGCAATGTTTGTCTTATGCACCTACAACATCTTTTCCTAATTTCCTCTTCATTTGGAAGCTAGTTTGTTCTCTCCCATAGTAGGCTGTTGCTAATGGTATCCGGTCAACAGATGTTGAGTATCTTGAGCGGACAATCGTTTATCAATACTTGTAATTCTTTATGATGGTTGTAGTAGTTCTCCAAGTTCCAACTCCGTACAGTAGAACTGTCTTAACGCTCGTATTGAAAATTCTGACTTTGATATTGGTTGACAGTTATTTTGAGTTCTACACGTTCTTCAGCTGTAGGAATGCTGACGTTGCTTCGCTTGGCAGCGGCAATAGGTAATAGCAGACAATTGTTCAGACTCGTTAAGGAAACCGGAATTAGGAACCAGACCGTTAGCGAAACAATCTCAGAGAAAGATGGACATATTATTCATTCTCAATCCAGGAGATTGGATCGATGGGCAGAACACTTTAGGGATCAGTTCAACTGGCCTTCAGCCACACTTCGGTTTCCCACTATCTCTAGTCAACCTGAATGGCAAGTTAATGTAGGTCCTCCGTCCCTTTACGAAGTTGAAAAAGCCATAGGAAATCTGAAACGAGGGAGAGCAGCAGGCCCTGACAGGTTTACTCCTGAGATTTTTAAGGATGGTGGTCCAGTATTAGCAATGAGATTAACTGAGGTCTTAGGTAGAATTTGGGAACTGGACGTAATCCCATCTGACTGGTCTCAATCACTGATTGTGCCAGTCTATAAGAAAGGACAAAAGTCCTCTTGTGACAATCACAGAGGAATCAGTTTGACTAATATAGTGTCTAAAATATTAGCCTCAATAATACTTCGACGCTTAATCAAAGCTCGTGAAGAGCAGACTAGAGAAAAACAGGCTGGTTTTCGACCTGGACGTTGTTGTATAGATCAGATATTCACACTACGTCAGGTTCTAGAACACAGACACACATTCAGACGCCCCACAATGGTAGTATTTCTCGACCTTAAGGCGGCATTCGACTCTGTTGATCGTGAGGTTCTATGGCAGTGTTTGTCACTGAAAGGAGTACCAAAGAAGTACATTAACCTTATGAAGGCTCTCTACTCGAACACAACTGGTAGAGTGACAGCTTATGGCGAACTGTCATCAGAATTGACTACCTCAAGTGGTGTTCGTCAGGGCTGTCCACTCTCCCCATTCTTGTTCAACTTTGTGGTCGACGTACTTTTAGAGATAACACTTTCCTCATCTAAATTTCCAGGGGTTGAACTTCTACCAGGAGGTTCACTTGCTGACTTAGAATATGCTGATGACATAGTTTTATTTGGTGAAGACGCTGACAAAATGCAGAGTCTTCTGACCACTCTAAGCAACAATGCAAGCATGTTCGGAATGCGATTCTCTCCCTCGAAATGCAAAATATTGCTTCAGAATTGGGTTACATCGACACCCGAACTGGTGATAGGGAGTGAAGTAGTTGAGTGTGTCGACCGCTTCACTTGTCTCGGAAGTCTCATCAGCCCTTGTGGTCTGGTGTGTGACGATATCTCAGCACGGATACAGAAGGCTCGACTAGCTTTTGCCAACTTGCGTCATTTATGGCGTAGGCGAGATATCCGTCTATCAACCAAAGGACGTGTTTACTGCGCAGCAGTTCGTCCCGTCCTACTTTATGGCAGTGAAACATGGCCGGTAAGAGTAGAGGATATTCGTAGGTTACTAGTATTCGATCATAGGTGTCTTCGAAACATTGCTCGTATATCATGGGACCATCGAGTAAGTAATGTAGTTGTTAGGAAACGGGTACTAGGTAAGGATGGCAAATCAATTGATGAAGTAGTGAAACTTCATCAGTTGAGATGGCTGGGACATGTGTTACGTATGCCCAACGACCGACTACCTCGACGTGCTATGTTCGGTGGTATAGGAGTAGGTTGGAAGAAAGCTAGAGGCGGCCAAACCAAAACATGGCACAAGTCCATGAAGTCACTGACAAGTGGACTGAGTCATGTTGGTAGGTGTAGACTACCTGGTTGGGGACCGCGAGATGATAGCAACCGATGGTTAGAGACCCTGAATGACATGGCTCAAAATGGTTTGCAATGGCGCAGGTGCATCCACTCTTTGTGTTCTCCCAAATTCTAATCTTCTGAATTCTTCATGTCCCTTTTTTCCTCTTTCCCAATTTATTTCACTGGATTATACTCTTTAAATAACATCTCCAAACCCTAATCTTCCCGATTACTGCTTATACTCTTGCTACCTCTACCACTACGGGATTTGAATCGACAACTGCATCTCTGTGCTAAGGTGGTGTGACAACTCGAACTGATGTACGTACGTACGAAGTTCTACGTTGTTACTGACTGACTGACGTTGCTTCGCTAGTCCTTTCCCTTAGGTCTGCATCAGATCCACAACGTTCATCGATGATGCTGATCACGTACGTGAAAGTTCCCACCTCTTGCAGAGTTTCTCCATCAAGTGTGATTAAATTAGTGTTCTCCATGTTGTATTTGAGGATCTTGCTTTTTCCCTTGTGTATGTTGAAGCCTACTGCTGCAGAGGCTACTGCTACACTGGCTGTGTATGGGATAGAAGAGCCAGGTCATTTGCGAAGCCCAAATCGTCTAGTTGCATCCAAGCTGCCGATTGTATTCCGTGCTTCCCTTGAGATGTGGAGGTCTTCATAATCCAATCAACCATCAAAAGGAAGAGAGTAAGTAGCTTTGTCGAACTCGGTCCTTACTGGGAATGCGTCTGTCGACTGTCCTCCATGCACGACTCTGCAGTGTGGTCCGTCATATGAATTCCGTATGATATTGACTATCTCAGGTACACCATTATGTCGAAGAAGGTTCCACAAGGTTCTTCTATCCACACTTTCAAGCACCTCATAGTCAAGGAAGTTGATGTATAGTGACGAATTCCATACAATTGATGTTCAACGACGATCCGTAGTGTTGCGATTCAATCTGTACACGACCGATCCTTACGTAACCCGATCTGTTGATATTGAAGTTGGGCGTCTACTGAATCTTTCATCAGGTTCAGGAACACTATGTTGAAAACTTAACCTGATACCGATAGTAGTGTGGTGTGTGCTACTATTGTCAACAGATATAAGTAGTATGCCATCAATCGAAAGTGAAATGCATGGACCAGAAGATCAAAGAAAAGAGAACGAGAACAAAGAATGATTGATGTGGAAACAAAAAAAAATGAAGTCTGAGACGATTAATTGACATTTTGCAAATGAAGTATTTACAGTATGGTCCTCAGATTTTACTAAGATGTTCTGTAATTTTGTGTTCAAATACATTCGGTTGTCCCCGCATATGTTCTCGTTCACTACAGTAATGTGGTGCCTCTGTAATTTTCACATTTGATTTCCTTTCTTTGGTATCTTGATAGGTTATCCTTTCCTCCTCCTAAATCTTCCAGAACAGAACGTGGAGCATGTTTGCAATCGCTTCCATGTCTGACTTCAGTGCTTTAGCTGGTATATTGTCAGGACCTGCTGCTTCCCCACACTTGATTTGTCTGGTAACCATCGTGATTTCTTCGATCGTTGGTGGAGTGATATGTATGGGAAGGTTTATAGGTGCCGATGGATTCAGTGGAACTGGCTTATTCAATAGTTCCTCAAAGTGATTTACCCATGTTTCACTTTGTTCCTGAGTCTCAGTGATTGGCTTGCCTTCTTTGTTCTTGACTGGTCTCTGGCTTACTATATTTCTCTGATAGTTTCTTCGTTGTGTCATATAGTTGTTTCATATTTCCTTCTGCAGCTTTATCCGCTGTCGTTGCTAGGTCCTCTGTGCATTTTTGCTTGTCAGCTCTAATATTGCTCTCCACTTTCATGTTTGATTGTGCTTGTGCGTTGAATTTCTCTGCTCTTGTTCGGCTGTTGTCAATCGATGTCTTCCTGTTCTTCCTTTCTTGAATATTGTCCAGGATTTCAATGGAGATCCATTTCTTGTGAGGATGATTCTTTCGGTCCAGGACCTCCTGACATGTTAAAGTTAGTGCTTCTTCGGTCTTTTTCCAACTATCCTCCATAGTAGTTTCTTCTATGAGTCGATCTTGTAATGCTTGAAACTTGTTGCTGAGAACTATCTTGAATTCGTTGAGCTTGTCAGAGTCTCGAAGAAAGTCTGCATTGAATCTTTGTAATGCTGTTTACCCAGTTGTCCAGTGCTTCTTTAGCTTCAGATTCATCTTGGCAAACACCAGTTGGTGGTGATCTGAAGCTATGTCATCTCTCTTGGTTCTCACGTCTTCCATTGACCTTCTGAATTTTCTAGTGATGCAAATATGATCGATTTGATTCCCTGTAGTGTGTCCCGGTGATACCCATGTAGCTTTGTGTATGTGTTTGCTGGGGAATATAGTGCCATATATAACCACTTTGTTGAATGCACATAAAATTGTAAATCTGTCACCATCCTCGTTCCTTTCTGCTGGTCCATGTCGTCTCATGATATCTTCATAACCGATGTTGTCCATTCCGACTTTGGCGTTTAGGTCTCCTATAAGGATGGTCAGGTCCTTTCCTGAGCACTTCGCTATGATTGGTTGTAGCCTCTCATGAGACTGATTTTTATCGTCTTCATTGCCATCATTGATGGGTGCGTAACGTTGGATAACATTTAGCGTGACTTCCTCCCTCTTTGTTTTGAAGGATGCCTTGATGATTCTGAGTCTATGAGATTCCCAAAGGCTGTGGTATTGCATCTTAACATTGTCGAAGCAATGGCTATACATCTGGAAAAACAAGAACTGTGTGTCCAAAAGAAAACGGTACAACCACTTTTTCTACCATGGTCTTAATGTCTCATAATTATCTTCCTTCTTCGTACTTTTTTTCCTTCACAGTCATCTGCTTCCTCTTCTATCTTCTCCACAGACACTACCCCCAACTGGTTTATTTCTGTTCCTGGGATCCTCATGATTACATTTCGTCTCAATTTTAATATTTTGTCTTACTATACTAAGCCATCCTTTCTTAATTATAATTTCCTATTTATCTTCACGACTGATATTTAAGTCCTTAACAATAAACTATTGTTAGTTTCCATGATAAAGAAAATAATGTTTTGATACCTTTGTTTATTCTACCTCACTGTTACCATGTTTAACAGAATTTTATTATTATTGTGATTATTATCATCCCGAAAAACAAGTATATATATTTGCGATTGCACAGCTTTTAAAATGAATTCGCCGGAAAGAGAACTCTTCGCTGAACTACTCTTTCTGATTTTATGCCTCAGTGGGTATATTCTGTTTACTCAGAAATAAATAAGCATAAAAGCAACGAACAATTTATCATTAAATAATGGACGACAGAGTAATATTAGTCATTTATTTATTTATTTTAACACATAGATATTGGTACAAGGAGGCTATATACGTGTGGCCATGTGAGAGCATTTCGAGTAATATTTGAGGTTTAGGTAATTAGTTTGTACAAAGCCAATCTAAATAAAATCATCCAAAACTTAAAACTGCAACATACAGTTACTCATGAAGTTAAAAAGTTTAAAAAAATGCGGTGAAGGAAGTTTTCTCTTTGATGACAGTCTTTACTAAAGCTGTATCCATTAGAAAATACGATTTAAAGCTTTTCAAAATAGAATCAACTAGCACTATACAAATAAAAAGCGACCAATGTGTAAAAGATTGCTAGAATACAACTTACCTCGCAACTGTTTTCCAATCTTGGTTTGTAAATCCAGCCAAAACTGAAAAAAGAAGGGAGATATATATACCACGCTAGTTATTCATAATACTTCAAAGCATCTCGACGCAATAGTGATCAAATCAATTTCGTTTATCTAGTTTGAACAGTAATTATAGGTCTCATCAGTTTTCTAACAGACAAACCAGATTGGTTATGAAAAACAGACCTCGGATTTCAGTTAGAAATGATCGTGCCTACACAATTGAATGTACTATCGACATAATAGCACTTAATATAATAAAAATTTCAAGCTAATGAGTTTTTTATAACAAGAAATGAGTTAAAGAATTATGAAACAAAAGCATAGTTGCAGATATCTAGTGATATTACTACTGATACTAAAAACAAGATAAAAATGGTTTCAGTACAGCAAATCAAGGAATATTATTTGGCACTACAAACAAACCACCTAACCAAATAATTTACCGGGGGCGACTCGGGGGCTTGGCTGCTATAAGATACTAATACTGATTAACATTTGTTGTGAACACTTGAGGTCGTGTTTACAAAGATTGGTTATTTATTGATACAATGGTATCCAGAGTACGATGAAATATAATTACTAAGAAACTTACCCATGTACGTATTTTGTTACTGACGAACGTCAATCCAAAGTAGTCGGCTTCATAAAGATCTAAGTTCTGACACACCTGATCGAAAAGAACTTGACCGATATCATCACGACTCAACTGGAAAACAAGCTCCTCACCATCAAGCATAATAACGCAAACTGATGTAGAACTATCAGACGGCTTGGTAATTTGTGACATATGAGCTTTCGGCTTGCGTCGCCTAAAAGAAGCGAATAACTTTGATAGTACGTTTTTCGTTGGCGAAACCTCAGGTAGATTTTGGTGAGGTACGAGTTCATGCTGGCCTTGTCCGAATTCAGGATTCCAAAATCCCCGTCCACTCCCAACAAATGCATTGGAATGTCCATCATCTAGCAAGCGTTGTTCGTAACTCGAATAGGATTCAGAGTGTAGATTAGTGGGTAAACCCATGGAAGATTCTCGACGTTCCTCAGAACGACCATTAGAAATGGGAATGCTGCCTGAAAGAGGAGAAGGTGGTACTGAGCCATCATAACGAATAGAACCAGACACTCCACTCTCCTCATCTTGATGATATGGTACTTGATTTTGAGAAATTCGAGAACCTGTGCGACTTCTGTACTGATTCTCATTGTCACTGACATAACTATGGATACTTTCTTGATATTGATCGACAGAATATTTGCGTTCCATACCAGCCACATTCGACACATTTTCATGTCTCGGTGGTTTTTTCTTCGACCTATGTCGTTCTGCTTTTTCGTTTGGGTATGTCTTTTCTACACTATCCCTATAAACAACTCGACTTGAAGAGTAAGGTCTTTTGGTAGCGTTAAAGTCAGCATAACCTTCAGTGGTCTCGGCGTCATGACAGCCGTTATCTTGGTTATCATATCTGTTGTCCGAAAAATGATTGAGGAAGCGACTAGCAGTTTGATCAGTAACCTCATAATCTCGACTCTTCTTTTTTCGATGGATTTTCTCTCCGCGCTCCCTTTTATGTCCCTGTACATCCTCCATTATAGTATTCTCGTTGGTGGCATATAAGTTTAAAAGCAGTCTGTCATGAAGAAAAAAAGTTACTTCATGAAGACATGTAGTTCGAAAATTCGCCAATAAAAAATGAAAAACTTAACACAATTCGGGGAGAAAGGAACCATGATATGAGCCAAGACATAAGCTGGATGAATCAGAAGTAACTACGGTTTTGGATAGGTCTAAACTGGCAAGGACAACTCGAAGTGATGCAACAGACAACAATGATTTCTAATGATAAAATTATTTTGATAAATATATCTACGAATCAAAATCGGGTTGAGTACTACCGTTAACTGGCATAATAGTCGGTATCATCCATCACATTGATTCAAAAAATTCATACTGGCTAGCTATAATAAGAGCACTAGCATTTGATATAATTATGCTTTACGAGTAGCTCAACTTTTAACAGCTCGAAAGTTTATAAAAAATACCATCTGAAATTTGGTTCTCTTCCCTTACTGAAAGTGAAAAATCCAGTAAAAGGAGTACAAGAGTATGACCTAACGATCCATACATAGATACTTATTTTACAAGGATTGACATGATGCACTTCGGACCTATTTTAAAATGATAAAGTAACCAGTGCATTGAACTAAGCATAGTGGGTATAAACTTTGGTTGAGTAATAAAAGCATATAAAGCAATGTTTAAACACTTGTCAGCACAAAAACCCTTAATCTATGGATGCCTGAAATGATGAGAAACAATACAATTGGATATTTCTCCTCATTACATTTTAACGATACGTGGACAACCAAAAAACTCCCTTGTAATACAGTGAGATCGTGTGTTAAAACATTTATCATCCTGACATAAATGGGCATGATCGCTAACAGTCAACCTATGTCGAATTCGCTAAGACAACTAAGTTTGTTGTAAAAAAAATTATAACTGTTAAGGAACAACGGTACAGTGGCACATAAAAGAGGGTTAACACTTGTCCATCGAAGAAATCATCATTCTAGGTATCCATAGATGAACAGACATGATTATCAATACTGTATATATTACTGTCTATGAAAAATCGCACATCCAAGCTATAAAACTGAGTTCCCAACGATGGATCGTAATGATGCTTTTTTTTATCTTAGCCATTTAAGAAGCTAGTCTGTCATTGCAAATGGAGCTTCACACTTAACTGACTACGAATAAGAAGAAATTATACCACCTAATCGAACCCACTTAGAATGGTAAGCCCACACAAAAATTTAACCTAGGCATTAGTGCATTCCAACAACGACGGTCGATTTTCTCATAACAAACCGTTTGTGTTACGATTCTGTCATTCACCTCCATAAACTTGACCCATGACTTTAATTTGTGATGAAAAACAATATATATTTTACCTCATAAAATAGTGTGTTTTACAAACCCAAACAAATTCCTCTTGAATTCTGAATTCCTAATGTTAGGAATAAATGGTTCAAATTGGTTCGACTGGTTGTGGATGGAATAGAAGAAGCTTTCGCTTAACGGGCTTCCGTGTCTAGTAGCAGTGGATTACCAGTACTTTCAGGCAGGAACGATAATAGAGGAAAAAGAAATCGGTAAATCATGGTAAGATATTATCCCTAGTCCTTAAGAATAGGTCAAGTTTCCTCTTGAAGGACTCCCGGGAAGTCGCTTGGACTAGCTCGGCTGGTAGCGAATTCCAGCATTTGACAACTCTCAGGGAGTAGAAGTTGTGTCTCTAGTTTCTGGGTGTTACTCCTTAGGTTTGTGTTGGACCTAAACTTAAGCAAGTGTTTAAGGGGATGTCCGGAAATGATAAGGATACTGTAATCTATTAGAAGACCACTTCTAAGACGCTTATACTCTAATGAGTAAAGGTTTGGTGATTGAAGACTCTCTTCATAAGGCTTGGATTTGAGTCTTTGGACTGATTTCGTGGCTCGCCGTTGTATACGCTGCAGAGTGTCCTTATCCTTTTAAAGTGAGAGAGGAAACACTATGTTTCCGTATTTTAAATTGAGACGAATGTCTCACATGGATTACTTTACACTTTGAGGTGTTAAAGGTAAGTCCATTGTCATCTGCCCAACTTTGAAGTCCAGTCAGATCCTCCTGAAGTGCCTGTATATCGTGTTGGTTACGTATCTCTCTCCGAAGTTTCACATCACCAGCAAAAAGCAATAAGCCAGGCGATACCTTTCGTGGAAGGTCGTTCATATAAATTAAGAAAAGAAGAGGCCCTAGTACTCAACCCTGGGAGACCCTACTAGCACATTACATGGCCCGAGAGAAAGTGAAGTTAACCCTAACCTTAAAGTGTTGATTTTTTTTAGATATGAAGTGTGTCAGTTAATTAGGGGTAATTTGATACCCAATCGTTTGAGTTTATTGATAAGATATATATGGTTGACCCTATTAAAAGCTTTTGAAAAGTCAAGGTGAATGACGTCAACCTTCCCCTTGAGATCAGAGATGGTTATCCATCTGTTCACCTCAGTTAGCAGGTTGCTTATTCAAGGGTGACCTTTCCTGAAACCGTACTGTTTGGGTGAAAATAAGATTCAGGATAATAAATAGTCGTGTATACAGTCGCACTGATATGTGATGGTATAGAGAGAAGGGCCACTTGTCGGTAGCTTGAAGGTTCGTTGCGTCGACCACTTTTGAAAATTGGTGTGATATAAGCCCGCCTCCAAAATTCCGAGAAGTTGCCTCGGCTTAACGAGTGCGGGAACATCACGCTAAGTGGTGTTGCCAGGACCGAACCTGATCCCCTCAGTATAGCAGAGTGAACCATATCCGGGCCAGGAGACGTATCTTTTCTTAGGTGCTGCAGTTTCCGGCACACAGAGTCCAGAGTCTGTTGTTGGTGAAATGTCCTTCTTGGCTAGTCTCGTCACTTGTTGAGTCAGTATGTTTTAAGCTTCAAGGATTGCTTGATGAATTTCCGGTGCGTCCAGGTTTGGGACCATGTTGCTTGGAGGTCGAAGCGAGTTTCCGATTCTTAGGCTCTTCGATGATCGGACGGACATTCTTAGGTGTAGTCTTTGGGGCAAAATCACCAAATGATTTCCCTACAATTCTTGGAACGTTCAGCTTCTCGGATTGTGAGGCCTTGTTTTTTCTAACTTTAGTACCGAAGGTCCAATCACCTACAGAGATTTTGGGAACCACCATTGCATTTAGGAGCTCTGTGCTAGGAGACCCAAGTCTGATGAGGGAGTCTATTACCGTCGACTTTATAATAGTGCTGAGTTTCAACATGCCATCACTAGTGTTTTTACATACTCCATCGACAGTGGCGCTGTCGAGATCCCACGTCTCGTCTTCATTGCGAGTCCTTGTTTATCTACCCGCTTTATGACTGTCTTTTTCCAAGTTTGCCGACAACTTATTCCTCAGACCTGTCAATAGGACAGTGATGTTGATCAACAAAACTTCAGCAACCGTGTTGCACATGACACATACCCACCCATGATCCGACTTACCGAGTCTTTTGTAAGCAGTATCTGTGAGATCTCTGCACGCCTCATGGAACCAACCCTTGCAGTTGGTGCACTGGATGACAGATGTAACAGCGAAACTGCAACCAGGTCGTTCGCGCAAATTTTTCATGGCTATATTTACATCAAATATTTAATAGATGCTAGCAAAAGCCTAAGACCGTAAAAAACAGCATACTAAAAACGGGCAACAATGGATGAAAATGGGTTACGATAAACTGAATTTAGCCTTTACATGAAAAACTGAAAAAACTGAATATTAAGCTGAGGCAAAACCATAGTTAACTAATAAGTTGGGTAAAACTCAGAAAAAGTAATCCACCGAACGTATAGCTCAGAATAGATTCTTTAGATCAGAAATGGCACTTTTAGGAACACAGCAAAAGTTTGAGAAATGCAAATCACGTTAAAACTGCACTTCCTGTTCGAATAGAGTTGTTCAGATGCACCAGGAGCTGAAAAGAGATATTTTTCAATGTTCCTGTGGACAACCATGTGATAGTGGGATACGGAAATCAAGTGATTATAGAAGTTTAGAACTGCCGAATAAATTTTGCTTTTAACAACGCTGTTGTCTGTAACTGAGAGTCTCAAACCCGTTCAAACAAGAAGTAGGGGATGAGTGGGTTTGAAGGTTCAATCGGAAGACAACCTGTGTGTCTATTATAACACAATTTAGGCTAAGTAGGTGTTATGGAAGGTGCGTAGTACAGGATAGGCAATCGTGACTTGGCGAAAATCCATGACAGAGCGCCTTTAGCTAGGGTGTGGACAGCAAAATCAACAGGGCAAGCATCAATTCTGAAGACTTGCAGAACTACTCCTGGTGTTCTTATTCACTGCTATGTATTACAATAGGTTAGTACTCCGTAAGCATCCTACCTAACTACTCATTTATCTTTCATAAATTCGTAGCGGCAAATAAAATCCTCAAAATAAATAGTTCTGTAGGTCTCAAACGTTGATGCTGATTTCACTAATTTTACTAAACACATCCTACCTGAAGGTGCACAGTCATTTATCCGCACCGGATCACGAGTTTTTATGTCATGCTACCCATCCCTTGTAACAACTTGCCAGCCTAGATCAAACGTATCTCTACACTCCAGCAACCTTCCAAACACTCCACCAGACATATTTGCAGCTATAAACAAGTCTTCGAAATAAATAATTTCAAAGCCCTTGACGTCTTATGCTAATATATCTTCAAAGCTCTTCATTTCTGACTTCTGATTTGACTGGGTTGATATCCTACAAGCACAAAGGTGTTACGGACGAAAACATCGTTAAATCCTATGGGATTTCTGTATTTCTAAGCATTACTTACTTACTTACTTACTTACGCCTGTTACTCCTCGTGAAGGAGCATAGGCCGCTCCTTTAAAATATCGAGCATATTCAAAAGTATGGTGTGTACTTAAGAAAAAATTAGGTTGCTATCTATTTGAATGCCAGGAAAACCACTTCTATGAAGTTGCGACCTATGTTCAATTACTTCAGCTATTGTGTTGTTTATTCTGCTACTGCTTAAAAGTGTTCTCACATTAAAATGAATTACAAATTCCATGATACACGAAATTCGATGTCGGATCCCATGAGGCAAACGGAGAAGAATGCTTAGCCTTCAATTTCTAAGGTGGTAATTGATGGACACAAATAAGAGACGGGTCATTATTAAAATTAACTCGATATGCATGTACATCAAAATTAGAAGAGACACTTCAGCAAATGTTCCAAAAAAGCGGCTTTTGAGATCATGAAAATTATTTTCTTGAGATCCAACCTATGTTCGTAAGTTATTAGCAGAGTTTAGAATAGTAAAACAGCTGTAATATCGAGCTGAGTCACTCTGCAATATGTTCTAATGTCCCTTACTGTGAATAAACTCCAGCTATTAGAAGTTGAGTACAGGACAAACTACTTAACAGTGCCTATACTTCATGTCCTTTACTTTCACATAACATTACTCGGATTACTTTTGGCTGTATAACATACATCCAAAAAAATTACCCAACAGCCTCAAATTTTCGACGTTTGCTTTAAAACCTTCGATAAATAAACGATCGAAATGCTAGCCGTATGTAATTCTGTTCAGCTTTTGATATTTGATGATCAGTATCTAGTTTTTGTTTCAATAAATCTCAATCATTTTTTACTTATTTTTGATATGTTCGATATTCCTTTTTTTACGTCCTCTTATTTCATAGTTATCTCTCACACCTGTTATCTAAGAACTGCTGTAAATTTCACCAAAATTTGCAGTAAAACCTTAAAGTGTGTTGTGAAAGACTTAATATGATATGTGGCGGAAATGTTTGGTTGCTAGCCAGTATATTGTGTTCAGAACAGAATTCAACCTGCTTTCAGAATTAGGTTTGAATTAGCCTAAATGACCAACATTATTGTTTTACTGTGGGGAATAGCATCCCGGCTTGTGTTGCTACATGACTATACACAAATTATATTGCTTCTCCGGCTAACTGTGATAAAGATCTTATAAATGAGAACAAAATTTAGGGCTTATTGCGTAATAATTTATGTGTAGTATTCAGTTAGACGGTTTCTTGGTATTCGGATGGTATCGGATGTTTTAGCAATTTCGCGTTCCTTGGTCTGACCAATTTTACCTCGAACAGTTGGTGATTTTCTTGTGCGATGAATTTATGCTATCAAAAGTTAAATTTCTGCCCTCAATACCTAAAGCAATCGAGATTTCATGTACTAAATATATTTG